AAATCAGATTGTTTCAGCTATTCAGGCGACATTTCAAAAAATAGTTTCTTGGATTTGTACTATCCATAGTCAACAACCTCAAAATTATTATAAATAATATTGCGATTATGTGTACTCGTATTAGCATATTTTGCTAAATACTCCGGAAGCTAGGTGACTTCCCGTATGCACTGGGTATAAACCTCACAAAAACTATGTAATTCTATGTAAAATTTCTCGAATATCTTGATCAAAAATCACAAAAGGTGGTACATTTTCCGGAAAATTTTATTTTTCGATGTATTATGAAAAACTAAGTTTTTTGGTGCGGAGTCATTTTTTTCGAGAAATATGGTTCAAAAACAAGAAAAAGTATATATATAGAGCGTAACAAAAGTACAGAAACGGTCCTGTATTTTTTCAGGTAAGGTATTCTTGAAAAAGTTTAGGGTCAGGTCTTTCGTAATTTATTGCAAGGAATTCAATGGGACCTTGGATTTGACCTTGAATCTCATCTTCAAGGTTATTTTAAGGTCAACTTTTTTATCAAATAGAAACCCCTCTTTTTCATAGCGGTAATTGAAAGAGCGGGAAATTTTACGTTCAAATATGTATCAAGGTCTATGGTCAAGGACAACCCTATAGGGCAAATAAAGGTCAAATATGAGTTGTTTGGAAATCGTCTGGAAATATCGCAGGATTAGTAAAGGACATAAATGACAAATTTTTTTCAAACGAAAACATATATTTTTGATATAGGCTATGAAAAGTTTTACGCTGTGGTAATTTGTAGATTATAAAGGTCACGCCCCCATGGTATCAGTAGCGTTGGAAATACAGCTTGTATAGTGATTTTTGGGATCACTAATCACCTTTATTTGACCTCTAGCGTTGTCCTTGACCTTGGACCTTGATACATATTTGAACGTAAAATTTTCCGCACTTTCAATTACTGCTATGAAAAAGGCGGGTTTCCATTTGAAAAAACGTTGACCTTTAAATAACCTTGAAGGTGAGGTTCAAGATTAAATCCACGGTCACCATTGAATTCCTTGCAAAACGGTACGAAAGATAACTAATAATAAAGATAACTATTCCCTAACCTTTTTTGAAAATACCTTATCTGAAAAAATACAGGACCGTTTCGGTACTTCGGTTTTGTTACGCCCTCTGTATATGCATTGTAAATAGCGAAGTTCATTAAGAGTGATAACGTTTAATTTTTGAGTTGCGATAGCAAAAGATGCGCGCGGATAAAAGAGAAAACAGAAGGACGACACTGGTTGTATGACCGGCAGCAGAGACTGAGCGACAATTAAAAAAAAAAATCATTCGCACCGTACAAAGAGAAATAATAAGCAGGAAGAAAACGCTAGAAATTGAGAGAATTCTTTCTCTATACAATAATGAAGAGTATAATCCTATCGATAGAGAGCGAACTGTTGAAAAATATTATCTGAAAAGTCTTAACGATTTAATTAGAAAGATTGATTTCACCAAAAAACAATCGGAGTTACTAGCTTCAGACATAAAAGGAGAAATATGGTGACAAAGGGTACTAAAGTAACTGCATACCGTAACCGACAGGGAAACTTTCTAAAGTATTTTAATGAAGATGTAGATCTAGTTTACTGTATTGACGTAAAAGGACTCATCGATGAATTAAAGCCAGGCGTATACAAACCTGAGGATTGAAGACTGTTCGTTGATTCATCACAATGCAGTCTTAAAGTAGTACTTCTTCATAATACAAACAAGTATGCTCCTATACCGTTAGCACATTCAACTACGCTCAAAAAATAGTATACAAATTTTGAATTAGTTTTGACAAAAATAAAGTACAAAGGACATAATTGGCAAATATATGGAGACTTAAAATTTTTATCCATGATATTAGGACAACAATCTAGATTCGCAAAATATCCATTTTAGTTGTGTATGTTCGATAGTAGAGATAGAATACATCACTAAAAAAAACAGAATTGAACATTTAAACCTGGAAAACGAAATATTCTTAAAGAACCTCTCCTGAATCCGTCAAAAATTTTAATATCTCCTCTGCATATAAAGCTTGGATTGATGAAATAATTAGTCCTTGACAAAAATGGCCAATGTTTTAAATAATTAGAAAAAGTTTTTCATAAAAAATCAGATGCTAAATTAAAAGAAGAAATTTTCCTATAGCAATGTACTTTTATAATTTTTATTCGAGAGACATAAAAAATAACATAAATAACACAGCTCTAGGGGAAAATAAGTTGTATGTGCGAAGCACAAGCCCATGATATATATACAGGGTGTTCCAGACCACCCGTACACCCCCTCTAGAATCCAAAATAATGGATTAATCAAAAACTGCTTCAGACAAAAGTTGCTGGGCTTCGAGGGGGACATATCCGTACGACCTTGGCTTTGACCTTGGAGGTCATGTTCAAGGTCATTTCAAGGTCAACTTTGTTTTTTTAAATAGGAACCCCCATTTTTGACCCAGGATTCGGAAAGAGCGGGAAATTTTACGTCCAAAACGGTATTTTTAAATTTTTTTTCATGGCCTTGAGAAGGTCGATTTAAGGTCAAATGCTTGAAAAACTGCCTAAAAGCGTTTTTTTAATTTTTAAGATATCGAAAAATGACCTCTACAAAATTTGTTCAGAACAGAGTGGGCCACCCAATGCACCAAAAACCTTTGACCTTTAACCTCATTTTGAAGGTCATTTCAAGGTCAAAGTGTTTTTTGTAATGGAAATCCCTCTTTTTAACCCCGGATACGCACATAGCGCGAAATCCAACGCTTGGATAAGGTATTGTGTTGAGTTTCGCGCTATGTGCGTATCCGGGGTTAAAAAGAGGGATTTCCATTACAAAAAACACTTTGACCTTGAAATGACCTTCAAAATGAGGTTAAAGGTCAAAGGTTTTTGGTGCATTGGGTGGCCCACTCTGTTCTGAACAAATTTTGTAGAGGTCATTTTTCGATATCTTAAAAATTAAAAAAACGCTTTTAGGCAGTTTTTCAAGCATTTGACCTTAAATAGACCTTCTCAAGGCCATGAAAAAAAATTTAAAAATACCGTTTTGGACGTAAAATTTCCCGCTCTTTCCGAATCCGGGGTCAAAAATGGGGGTTCCTATTTAAAAAAATAAAGTTGACCTTGAAATGACCTTGAACATGACCTCCAAGGTCAAAGCCAAGGTCGTACGGATATGTCCCCCTCGAAGCCCAGCAACTTTTGTCTGAAGCAGTTTTTGATTAATCCATTATTTTAGATTCTAAAGGGGGTGTACGGGTGGTCTGGAACACCCTGTATACGTTTTCGAGATCGCTGAATCCGATTCCAAGGTCCTCTTGATCGAGTTAGTTCTAGTTCAAGGTCAGATCAAAATCAGATTCAGAGAGAGCACTGTAAATAAAATATACCAGCACATTTACATATTTTCGAGGTCACTGAATCAGAATCCTAGGTCCGTTTGACCCGATCAGCTCGGAGTGAAGGTCAGATCAAGGTCAAATCTAGAAAATGCATTGAAAATGGAGTAGAAAAGTATATTTATATGTCTTGTAAGTCGCTCAATCCGAATTCGAGGTCCATTTTACCAGATTAGCTCTGGTTCAAGGTTAGATCAAAGTCAAATTCAGAGTTCTATGTAAATAAAGTAGAGAAATATATTTAAATCTTCTTACGATCAATGCTCTAATAAAACACCTTTCTAATTTAATTTTTTCTGCTATACCGCACTGAAATATGAACTTGAAATTATATTTTCTAGATTCTTACATGGACTACTTCCCAATCAACTAAGGTACTTATAGTGAAGAACAAAGAGAGAGATTCCATCAAAACATCAAAGAGATGGAAAGACGGTATCAAGGACGATGAAATGTCAATATGATGGCAAATTTCTGCTGAATTATTTCTGGAACTTAAAGAGAGAAGCATAGAAAATAGGCATGAAACGCAAAAGGAAACTACTCCTGAGATCGTTTTGTGATAAACGAGTGCCGTATAGCAAAAAAACTTAAATATCAAGCGAACCTCGGAATCGGATTCAGCTACCTCGAAAACTTATAGATATCATGGGCTTATGCTTCGCACATACAACTTTTTTTGCCCCTGGGACTATATAATTAAAGGTTATAACATGACATCTCACCTCAGTAGCTGGCGTGTACTGTGCAGTGGCGATCGTGATGCAACGTTGCCGATTCTTCTAATCCATACATGCTAATGTTCAACGTCTGTAAGAAATAATTTACCGGTATTTTGAAGAGGCCCACGAAGACATACATATCTGGACACGTGCCATTTGCTTATACGCTTCTAGATCTATTCGACTCCGATTCGGATACAAAGCCGTAAATTTCTCGAATATTCGAGCGTAAACTCCACGCCGGTCATTGCGGTGTCATCAAACACCGATTTTTGGACCTTTTTCGAATGAGAACCATGACTTAATTAATCAATGAATTAATAAAATTAATGAAAAAAGCAATAAATGATTTTCATTGAAGTGAGCGAGATTTCTTATTTTATTGCTCATACGTCCTAGACAGTCCAGAAAAAATGTCCAAACCGTGTGTCCCTTCATTTCAATTAATTATCCATAACAGACAGGTACCATTAAGTTAAAAATTATTTAAAAAATGGACAGGTGTGATTTTCTTATTATACTTACTTACGAAGTTTAAACTCTATTATATTAGATGTTATAAAGTATGATAGTTTAGCTAGTAAGATACAAATCAGTTCAGAATATTTTAGGCTGTAAAGGCCACTTTATTAATTTAGAGTTAGTATTTAAAGTTTTTTTATTGTAGATATTTCGAAAAAAATGCAAGCAATGAATTTAAAACTTTTTAGAGATATTGATAATTAAGTACACAAATTATTCTGGATGCATTAATGGCCGGTAAATAAACTAATAGACAAATTAAGACAAATTTTTGAATGTAGATTAATAGAAATAATTAGACTAACTTGCACTCAATTAAAATATAATTTATGTTAAATTTCGTCTTGCAGGTTTTCGCAGTTTGATAAGTTGAAAGAAGTTGCGAATCTGTCAAACTTGTCTGAGTTCAGTGTGTTTAAATTGGAAATAAGGCCGGTTGAGCTTGAGTCAGCATCAACAGAAGTAGCAACAGTAATAAAAATGATAAATGTAGCAGGGGTCGTCTCGATTGTGCTGTTCTACTTGCTAATTCTAGGTGTAGGAATATGGGCTGCAAGAAAAAAAGAAGCTGGCAATGATTCAGAAGAAGAGGTTATGCTGGCCGGCCGCTCTATTGGCCTCTTTGTAGGAATTTTTACCATGACAGCCACCTGGGTAGGCGGAGGTTATATCAACGGAACCGCCGAAGCAATCTATACGCGAGGCCTAGTTTGGTGTCAAGCTCCCTTCGGCTACTCACTTAGTTTAATTTTTGGTATGTTAATGCTTTACTTATTACACAAAAACTCTTGCTTTTTATACTATATATAACAATTGATATTTCATGTTTGTAATTTTTCTTGCTTAATATTTATTTATCTAATCTTATGCTACTTTGCTAATGGAAGATTTAAGAAATCTTTGTAAAAAAATATCCTATCACAGGGAAAAGTAGCAATATTCTAACCTAACAAAAGTAATTATGAAAAAAATAGAAAATATTTTAAGTTCTTAGTGAAGTCCTCTCTATACTAGGCAATAGCAGCGCGCAGACAAGAATTAAGAATTAGATGAAAAGAGAGCGGGCAGCTATTGTAGATTAGATTGTAAAGTAGGACAGCGATCAAAGTAACAAAAACAGTAGTATCATCTAGTAATAGAAAAAATCGGATTACAAGTGCGCGATGCAGTGTACAAGTTTACAAGAGAGTGAGATTTAATAGATGATAAAGAACAAGAAAGAGAGTGAGAGATAGAAATAGAAAGAGAAGCCAAAACGAACAGTTATATGTATGGCACCGTAGCATATATTGTTTCAAATGCATATCTCGTGTTCGTGCCTGGTAGCGATTATTCAAATCGCTGCTAACGTGAACTGTGGATATCATCTTAGTTTAAAAATACTAGTGTCATCAAGCGCACTTCGATTGTTTACATTAATATTTAATTTTATACTTCAATCAAATCAAAACTAGTATAAATATATTGTGTACAAAAAAATAAATCGATGTTTTCATGTACTTAACATCTCTCGATATTAATTGGCAAATAAAAATCCAATTACGTTGATATTCGTAGATTTAGGTATTATGTGAAACCTAATACCGTAACAGAACTTGCAACGATTACCGAAATCGTTTGACTCGCGCGATGTAATTAGCGGTTAAGCGAGGTGAGCCGCGTTCGGTTCGCGAGAGAGAGAGAGCGCGTAAGGGGCAACGACCGGGAGGGGAGGCTCCGAGCGCCAGTATGACTGTGCTACTCAGTCGATCCGTGCGCCTAACCTCCATATTCTCCGTGCCGTTCGTTTTCGTTTTGGACATTGACATTGTTCCTGGTGAGCGTGCGTGGGTGAGGTGCAGCAGCAGCAGCAGCAGCAGCAGCAGCAGCAGCGATAGTAGCAGCAGCAACTGCAACAGCAACAGCAGCAACAGCAATAACAGCAGCGGCAGTAGCGGCAACAACAACACCGGCAACAGCATCAGAGGCAGAGCAGCGTAGCGGCGTCTCAACACTTGTCTTTTGGATACGGTTGGCCACCGTATCCCCTGCGGTGTTGCGGTAGGTGCACCTTCCCCTTTTGTCGATTGTAATAACGATTTTGCGTGCGAATCCGCGCAGCGAGCGCGGAGAGTTTATTGTTTTGCGTGCGAGCAGGTAGTTCGCGGCATCGCGGTTTTTTTTTCTCTCTCTCTCGAAAAGCGTGTGTTGTCATTCACGCGTGCGTGCGTGAGACTCTCGGCATACCCTCCGTGTAATTGACTTGATTAAATAAATCATCCTTTGTTCCTTTCAAACGAGTTTATTAGTCGTTATTTTGTCATTCCCTTGTTCGAAGGTCGCGCCTAGCTGTGTTTACATTATATTCGAATTCGCCGGTAACGTAGCACGAAGTGTGCGAAACATTAGGCGGGAATTCTCAATCTAGGTTCCGATAGCGGCCGCACGAGCGCTACTATCTAGCAGCGACAGCGCCGCCAAGTGGCGAGCTGGGGGAACCCAGCTCGGAACATCGGAGAGACTCTGCGCAGGCGCACTTCGGGCAAGGTAGGTTACTGTGCTATACGCACATAGATAACAAGGCGTCGTATAGTCACTTTTAGGTGGATTCAACGATTGATTGACTAAATGACAGCCTGTTACAAACTTTATTAGGTGATAGCTAAGCTATAGATAACAGACAGTGAACCAAGTTCGTTACTTCTTTTTGATATTTAATAACTCTAATAATTTCCTTTATTAACAAAAATACTAGAACTCATTTAGGAGTTTCGATCTGTTTGGAGTAGTACTTTTCACAAACTTTATTTAAAAATTTTAATTTCAGCAACAGAACCATTATTTTTTCTTTATTCATCCATAAAAATTTTGAAGTTATTTTTCCATGTATAAATTCAATTTCCAAACATTTTTTAAATAAATTACTGAACCAGATGACATAAATTTAGTTTACGGTATTATATGAAATAATCTTATGCTTTATGAAATAATCTATCAGTTTATGATTTGCTTAATTTTTAATGATATCTATGCGAAGCTAAACCTTATAACAGAGGTATTCAATAAGCTTATGTGTCGTGAAAATAAATGTAATTGAAGAGCATTAAAATTATTTATCATGTTATTTTCAGGTTCGGGTGTTTAGTATATGTTGATGTTATTCTTTTTCTATTATTCACAGAACGTCTTACTACTATTTTATTTATTCAATTAATGAACATAAAATCACTGTAAACGACTCGAAATATTTAGTAGCATAGCAAAATATGAGTTGCTGTGCTATTAATATTATATACGAGGTGTGTTCAAAAAGTAAGGTGAATTTTTATTTTTATGAAAAAATATTTATTTATTCATCGATATTTATGTTGTCCTCTTCAAAGTAATACCCTCAAATAAAATATACTTGTGCCAACGTTTTTTCCAATCCTTGAAGCACTTCTGGTAGGCACTTTCTGGTATAGCCTTGAGTTCTTCCATCGATTTTTCTTTATTTCGTCAATCGTTCCAAACCTTCGTTCTTTCATGGGTTTTTTGAGTTTTGGAAACAGAAAAAAGTCGCAGGGGGCCATATCCAAAGAATATGGTGCCTGAGGCATGATCTTGATTTTGTTTTTGGCCAAAAAGTTCGATACAAGCAACCATAAGTGAGCAGATGTATTATCGTGATGCAAAATCCATGAACTGTTTTCACACAATTTCGGACGTTTTTTTCATATTACTTCTCGCAAACGGTGCATAACTTCAAGGTAATACTCTTTATTGACCGCAAAATCTTGTGGTAAGAACTCTTGATGTACTACACGACAATAATCAAAGAAAACAGTGAGCAAAACCTTGATATTTGATCGAACTTGCCGTTCTTTTTTCAGTCTTGGCTCTTCTGGAGTCTTCCATTGGGACAATTAGGCTTTAGTTTCGATGTCATAAACATAAACCCATGATTCGTCACCAGTTATTTTGAGCCATAAGGATCATCATTGAGGTCGTTTAACAGCTGTTGAGCAATGCTTCTTCTACGGTATTTTTGTTCAAAATAAAGCAGTTTCGGAACAAATTTTGCTGCTACACGTTTTGTGCCCAACATTTCGGAAAAAATTGCATGGCACGAGCCAACAGAGATGCCGACGTCTTTAGCCACTTCTCTAATAGTGATTCGACGATTTTTTAACACCATTTGTTTCACTTCTTCAACAATTTCATTAGTTATTGAAGTGCTGGGCGTCCAGAGTAAGGTTCGCCGTCGGTGTCTTCTCAGCCATCTTGAAAGAGCTTATACCACTTGTAAACATTTTTTTGACTTAAAGTAGATTCACCGTACGCCACTGTCAACATTTCAACTGTTTTGAAGCACTTAATTCCATTTTTTACATAAAATTTTATGAAAACTCTATGATTTATTGTTTTCGACAGTAGAAAATCGCCGAGCATAAAAACACATCTAACGTTCCTGTCTCGCAAAAAAAGTAAACATACAAACTGGCTGAAACTGTGAGCATATGTGAGGACATGTATACCAACATAATAAAAAAAATATATTGATGATCAAATCTACGTAACCCGCCCAATTTAAAAATTCACCTTACTTTTTGAACACACCTCGTATTGAGTAAAAAAGTGAACGTACTTCAAAAGGTAGTTGAAGATAATAAGTGGGCTCGTAAGACACTAATATGGAATGAGATAGCAGCTGGATCTTTACTTGACTTTCCACGATTAACACTTAATGACCTCCAAAGAATCACAGTAGGAGTTTATGAGGTCAAACAGGCTAAGTCGTATACGAGAGAGCATATGAACGATGATAGCAGTTGCGATGTTTATGCACACAAAGAAAAAAGCGATATATTAATCTACAATCATGTTATATTTCATCGAAGCAGTACCAACTTTGGATAAGATATCTTTGATCCAATTAAAGGTTGGTATTATCAGTGTAAGACCAGAGCTTGTACAGTAGGATTTTGTGCACATACTGCCTTAGTTTTATGGTTTCTAGGATATTATTGGTATTTACAAGAGAAACCACAATATAATAGTGATAACTGGTTCGAATATGAGTTCGACGCTATGAACTGGTCTGAATCAGACGATACGTTAGATGACAATGACAGTTCTGACAACGGTTAAGAATTATGTATAGAAAAACGCTTTCGATATTGAAATACTTGATAGATTCATCAATCACTAAAATACTAACATACGAGTACAATACAAAGATAGAAACACAGACGAATACAGAAATAAATAGACACATACAAAGACAGACACAGAAACATGATATGCAAAACCCGATCGCGCAACCTCCCCGTGGTGCACATTGGATACTACGCTAATGTCGACGGTAATAATGATTGCTATTATAAAATAATTTTATTTTTAGCTTCATGACTTGTGAATAGAAGACATTGAGAGTCGACCAAATTCAAGATCAAGAGCAAGGTCATTGATGCTACTTTTGTCTGATCCTACTTTTCATGACAGAGAGTTTAAATATTAAAATGAAAACAATGAAATAGGGTTCTGATTTATCGTAAACTCCGTTAATTTAGATTTAACCTTGAACTCACCTTACCCATGGCCTGATCAAGTCAAACAGATCCCAAATTCGAATTCAGCAACCCCTAAAACGTATAAATACATTGGTATACTTCGTAAGTTGCTGATTCTGTACATTTGACCTTGAATTGACCTTCATCCTGACCTGATGAAGTCAAACCAACGTTGAATTTGAATTCAGCGACCTCAAAATTATAAGTTATACATAATGTTATT